GATGTCTTGGATAAGACAAAGACCAACTAAGACCAAAATTATGAAGTGTTTTGTTTTGATAAAGCTACACTAACTCTTGAATATTTGTTTGTCAAGAAATGTTTTGATAAGAGAATCTTATATGTCAAGGAGTCAGTGGGAGTCTTAATAGTCTTGAAAAGTTTCAAGAACAAATCAAATAAACCTTATCGATCATCACTAGCACACGAGTTGAGGTTTACAACCTATCGTGAAGACATTATTTTGTTTCTGTGCCAATCCAATCGAGTTAATTATGCATGTGAGTCCTATGAGTTCTCATTTGAATGCATAAAAGGCAAGGACCTTGATCAATGGAAAGTACATTGATAGGAAAAGGTGAGCTGCTTAACTACTTGGAAGACGTGGTGGGCAGCTGTGCTACCATAAGGCAAGAAATCAAGATTAAGAAAGTTCGATCCATATGAGTTTGAATTTGTCGTAAACTTTGGTTTTAACAAATTCACATGGATAGGAACACATACACCGTTTAAATCTAAGTGTCATAAGATTTCCTCCTTCATGAAAATGATTGTGAGAAAATGCTTTCACTAAGAAAGATTTTAAAAGATAGTGATTGTAAAATTGCATTCTCGAATTCGATCATGGTTACGGCATCCCTTTCCATAATTTGAATTGTGAGGTTTGGCAATTAGTCTTAATTGTTAAGACACACATATGAACTATCTAAGGCAAAAGTGTATAAGTTCAAGAAGCCTTGATAAAAGATTATCAAAGCACTAAGTATTAGAAACATGAACTTAAGAAATTCAATAAGTATTGTTTTTCTGAAAGTTAAGATGTTTATGAATACATGTCGAAGCTAGTGGGAGCATAAGTGTTATGTTTTATAATAATCATCATGATAGTGGGAGCATAAATGTTATGATTGTATGATTATTAAGGCAAGTATTGCATAGTTGGCAATATTAATTATAGAAAACAAGAGTCATACTTTGCAAAGTTGTAAGAGTTGAAAGGTTGTTTTGCTATAATTAAGGGAGAGAATATTATGCTTCATTTCAAATCTAAAGGATTAGGTTGTGAAATGTTAATAAATTTAGTCAAGGTACATAGTGTGTTCTTAAAATTTCGATTATGATTACGGCATTCCTCTTCACAATTCGAATTTTGAGAACATAGCAAATAAAACATTATGCGTCGTGTCCCATACGCTTCGGTATAGGATCGATTGCAAATGCTTTAATGTTTGACCATTCTAAAATTTTCCAAATGTCTAGTGCATTTAGAGGGAAAAGGGACTAGAATCGGTTTTGACTAAAATAATTAAACAACTATCAAAGGACAATCCAAAGTTCGACGAGGATTGGTCGCTTGTGAGTAGTTGGAAGTATAGTATTGGAAATTATGGAAATGTTTCCATATTGGATGGACAATATCGACATCATTACGAATAGATAAGATTCTATTAAGAATGAGTTGTCATATGGAAAATATGGAAGCGTGTCCATATTGGGAAGTAAATATTGAAAATCTATGTCTAGATTAGAAACTTTTATGCAAAAGGATGTTCAAAGGAATGTACTTTGAGTGAGAGACATCATATCTAAGGAATTGTCTTGTAACAATCTCCGATAGAGGACTTTGTAATATCATTGGCAATAGTCTTTGAGACTTTGGTGCAGTGACATTACAAAAGGATCGTTGCATAAAGTGTTAGAATCTAGTATATTCTATAAGTAACAAGAATTTGATATTCTTACACTTAAGAAAATGGATTTGGAGTTGTAAAATGAGAATGATTGGAAATGTGTTCAATTTGTCTATTTCACAAAAGTAAGAACCATAGGTAAACATTGTGTGCATGCTAGGAGCATGGGACAAGTGTAATAATTCAAGTAAAAGTTGATTACCCGAAACGACAAATAATGAGTAATCGATATGGTGATAAATAAAACGTGTTTTGTTTATACTCAAAGGTTTGAGGCCATATGGGATTAGTATTATTCTTGTGTTTCACCTTGCATGTTTTGACTTCCAGAATAATTGAGTTTATTAAGAATAATCGAATTATTCAAACGGGCCACAGTCGTTCATATGTTGGAAGTAGATATGAATGAAGACTGTCGTGAATTGGTGTGTGGATTGTCTAGAAGAGTATTAGACATAAGCAAATGTTTGCTGCAACGTTCATGAGTGCTTATGAATATGATTTGAGCATTGGATTAAACCCACGCTCACTTGGATCACTCCATGAATTGTATTACGAGTGATTAGTGAGACGATAACATCTTATATTCTTGAAACCGAGATGTGTGAGTTGTATCTTGCTAATCGGTTGCACATTGATAATATGTAAACGCACTAGTAACTTGGTGTTATAAAACATATTGTTGTGTGTGATTTGGTTAGTGAGTGCAAGCAAGCATTGTATCAAAGTTTATCCGTTCCTTTTATCCAAAGTAGGATAAAAGCGATATCTTTGGGCCCCTCGATGGTTTAGTGATGACATACGTAAATGCTCGGCCGGGCTAGGGCTAATTTGATTTGTTCAATTAGTCTGTCGTCATAAATCGGAAATCGAGTAGTACAAAGAGAATGATTTGAAATCATATCTCATACGATATCTAGAATGAAGGAATATATGATCCCTTATCTAAGGACACGCGTATCTGATATGATCAGAGTTGACAGCGGCTTTGGAAAGCTACGATTGCAGATCAGGATCTGAAGTCATACGCAGAATAGTTGTTAGACTTATCCAAGTGGGAGACTGTTGGATTAGTGTCTAAGTCCATAACTATTTTGGTATGTACTTGACCCGATGGTGCATGGTCCTTTTGGGTTGCCTTCACCAAAGCAACTTGATAGGATGAATTATGGAGAGTAAGGATTAAATATGATTTATTAATATATTATGGGAATAATATATTAAAGGAGAAATCATATTGTTTAATTAATATTAGTCAATAATTAATTGGTAATTAGTTTTGTGACTAAAAGAGATTAATTAAACTTAAGGGACTGGAATTGTAATTATAAGATAATTGCAATTTGGGCCATGGATTGCCTTGTATTAAGGGATGGACGAATTCTAATGGGAAACCCATAAGGAAATCGTCCATGGGCTTAATTAAAGGAGTCTATGGGTTGCTTAGGGCTTAAGCATCCAAATTAGGGTTTCCTTGTTAGATAACCCTAATAGCCCAACTATATAAAGACCCTTAAGGCTCAAAAACGTGGCTAATGTTCTTGTAAGGGTTTACACACGTTTTTGGCAGCCTCCAACCTCTCTCCTCTTCATCCTCTTGCTTATGGTGTTTGTGAACCATTAGAGGAGTGACACTTGTGACTCTAAGCCTTCCAAAGTCAATACAAGGAGATTTGGGATTGTTATTGCTACATAACAATCAAGGTAACACTATAAACTTATTCTCATGTTAATATGATTATATGTATGCTAGAATTAGGGTTTATAGTCTTGGATTCAAAGCATGTACAATAGAGAAACCTAGATCCAAGCATTAGGGTTTGTATGAGCACATAGGATGTCTTATGACTAAAACCCATCAGGTTGAACCAAGACCCTTGCATATGCAAGCTTCTTTCAAGTGAACGGGGATGAGAATGATCTTCATCCATTCCCTGTATTTTGTCACTTGCTCCTCCAGATTTGTAGTCTTGTCCTAAGGCTTCATGTTGGTGGTTTGGAAGTGCTTTGGGACTTCGGTATCAGCTATTGTCGGAACAAACCTTGAGATCATGTGGCTTGTGGGGAATACTTCTGGTACATGATAAACTACTCCAGGCACGCTCGAGATCACTTTTATTAGTTGCGAATGCTCCTTAGCCATGATCAGGCTTAAACATGTATAAAGATCTATTGAGTTAATAGTAAAGATATTGTTGTTAATGGGGGCTACCATGATCCTTGTTATTGGGAATAACAAAGGTTTCGTTAGGATCATAGGTCATGTGGGCTTTCTCTCTTAATGTCGCACCTTAGGCGGGAATAGAGGCCGATATTGAGGATCCTATCTCGTGGCGAATCGATGAGGATCCCGTCTTATCAAAGTTCAGGATCTTGGTTGCAAGATCGAGGGTGCTGTTTCCTGAGGCTTATGGATTTTTGTCCTTATTCTCTCCACTTCCTTGAGAATTGTCCAGTTATCCTCCTGTTATTGGGCAACTTGTCATTCTAGTCTCTTTATCATAACGGAGATTTCATTGTGGAAATCAGGACAAGAGGATCCTGGAGTCCTAGGGTAACGCCCGTATAGGTATTTTTCTTTGGTGCTTCTGAGGCTTTCTTGGGAGCTCCAACTAGAGGTGGTGGAAGGTTTTTGGAGGAAATGGGAGGAATTGAAGAAGAGGACAGGGTCAATTGTGTAGACATGATTTTCGAGGTATTTTGAACACCACGGCCCCACGGTGGGCGCCAATTTTTTTTTGGTCAAAAAATGAACAAGCAAGAATCAACCAAATTGTATGAGAGGTTATGATGTTCAAAATAAAACCAGTATAAAATGATGATCAAAGCGTCACAAGCGGTTTACAAGGAAAGCCCTTGGTCCTTGCTAGGATCTCAAGCACAAACACTTAGGAGGCGATAATGATCACCTGCCTTGATGATTTTATTGATTGAAAATGTTGATTAGAGAGATGAATGTGTAAAAAGCAAGTACAAGTATTGTAGATGAGCTAATCGTATGTGTTGTGTGTTTAATACAAGTGGTATTTATAGTCTAAAGCAAATAACAAGAAGTTTGATAATTCTGGGATCCTCCGAGATCAGCTTATAGATGTTATTTGACTTGGTGTTTCAGGTCTTTTGCATGGTCAAGATGATTCTTCACTGAGAATAAGTTTTTTAGATAACTATTTTTGCACATGTGAGAAAAATAAAGAAGCATATAACCGTTATATATGTTAGGAAAATAAATGATAATAATCAGGATCGTGGAGCCTGTTTAAGGATCCTGAGGTTTGAGGATCCTAAATGTAAATCTAGGATCCTGGCCCTAACACATATTACCATGTATCCAAGTGTCAGAAACTCCGTCAACATCATCATCGAACACGACGTCTGAATCCTCCTTTGATTCCCACGAGAATGACTTGAAAGGAGTCCAAACATCGTCGATTTCGATTATGCCAATTCTGCAAGCAACTCCATCAAAGACAGCATTCATGTCGTCGTTTATCCACTTCCTAAGATTCGTTAGAATACAAAGTTTTCCATAAGAAACATCATTACGATTCCAAAAAGGACATGTGTTTACCAACACCTTCCCAAAATTACAGGCGGCAACTTCGAAATTGAACTCATCCTAATCTAAAAGTGGAATTTATGTGATCTTGACCCACGTAATTCTTTCAAAACGAACTGATTTCTTGATTTCTTCCCTATATGGCCCACCTAGTTAAACCATTTCAACCAAATGCTTTTATTTTCCATTATCACTTTAGCTGTCCCATCTGATTTGAATTTGATGATGATTTTCATGCCTCCAAGATATTTGGACTCCACCACATCAAATCCTTCTAAGTCCAACAATGATGGGAAATTACATAGTGTGCCAAAGTTCTTTGCTTCTCCAACAAGAACTGAACGGGAAGTCCAAGTCTGCACCTCATGAATGGGGGGAAAGGGTAATTGTCGGAATAGACTCATTCTTCGTCTTCCCCATAGCAACATCAACAAATTACCTAGAGTCTCTAGTTGCATGGTTAAGAGAAATGGGAGCAACGAATGTATTTTTGATGGGAATAGATTTCGCACTGGCGCGCGGATGATTTGCACAATTCACCTTTAGTTTCCTTCAATGGTGCTTGGATCAGTTACCTCAGTGAATCTAACGAAAGTAAAGAAAGCACCAGAGGCATCCCTCATACCAGCAATGTACATGTCAACCAACTTCCTAGCAACGAACATGGCTTCCATATCTCCTTCTCCGTTACATCTCCAGGAAGATTAGAGACATAGAATGAACAAATAATGGGAGGAAAACAGTTTCTCCAATCTGTGTTCTTGAAGCCCCTGGATGGAAAGGAATTCCATCTCTGCTTACCTCCATCCAAGCCATTAAAAACACATTTTCAATTTTTAGTCCTACCAACCAATAAACAACAATTATGTCAAAACAATCTCTTGTTTTTCAAATTTTAGTTTAGAACCAACTTCTTTGATTTTATTTGGTATATTAAAATAAAATTAAACAACTATATAAATTTAAAGTAAACTAGACTTTTTTTGTAATATTAAATGCTTATTACTATATATATATATATAGTAGTCCATCACTATTTGTGGAAAATATTTAATTTTAACCTGTTCGTTGGTTTAGCATTAGTGTTAAAAATTAGAATATATATATATATATTGAATTTCATTAAAAATAATTTTGAAGGGGCCAAGTCAGCAGTATCGGATAAGTTAAAGAACTAAAGAAGAAATTGAATAAGATAGGAAGTTGGTTATGTATTTGGGATCTTGACAGAAAAGTAGATCTGCCCAATACCATTGCAGATCTTTGAAGACTGCTGATCACCATATCATTTCAAATTAAATTGCCTAACTCTTTTATTATTATTATTATTAAAGAAATTAAATAATTCTAGTGAATCTATTAAGTATTAACCATTTATTTTTATTTTTTTATTAGTACTTTTAAATTTCACATATCAATTTTGATATTTATTTAAAAAAAAAATTATCTAACAATTATAATCTCGGTTTCAAAGAGAACATAATTATTTTTGTTTTTAGTTTTTGAAAAAAAAAAAAACATTTTCTTCTGAATGCCTTCGTTATGGAATAATAATCATAATCTAGAATTTTTTTAATTTTCAAAGAAATCTATTTATTTTTAATTCATTGTCAAGTACTCTCTCTCTCTCTCTCTCTCTCTCTCTATATATATATATATATATATATATATATATATATATATATATATATATATATATATATATATATATATATATATATATAAAGACTTTAAAAACCTTAATATTTCAATTAAAATAAAAACTTATTTCTACATAATATTTAAATAAAATTTGGGTATTTTTTTTTGAAGAACATTATGTAGAATTTTTTATTTCAAGTTTTTAGGATTTTGTCCATGATAAATAAATAAATAAATAAAATCAATCTGTTTATATACACCCATTGACCCAACTGCTCATTTTCAAGGGCAACTACATTGGGTCACTTACTATGACTTATTCATTTACCATGGCCACACAAAAGTACATGCATGAAGTTACTATAGTTTAGATTAATTTATTTTTTGTTCATTTTAGGTACAGACGAAACTGACCAGAGTTTAGGCTTAAGACAAAGTTAGGCGCAAACAACTTTAACTAGTGCTAGTCGGGCGTAGACACGGTCCTTTGTAGGCGTTTGTATTTTATATTATGTAAAAGTAATTATAATTATAATATAAATTAAAAAAAAATACAACATTACTCAAAGAGTCAACTAAGTATTATGATACAAGTTCCAATAGTCCTTTAAAACTTAGTGTATAACATAAAAAACTAATACCAACACCACCATTTTAGAAAGAATAAAAATAACTCAATTTGATTTTTATAATTATTTTTAAGCCACCCAAAGGTGGAAGCTTATTGTATTTGTACATGGGTCAGCTTTAGTTTAAAGTATTTTATATCAAGTGATCACTACTAGATCATCTTGATGGTTGTTCGATTTATAACTAAAATTGTGCAAAGTTTTCAACCAAAAATATATGATAGACGTGTAAATAAAATTCTTCAATATTTTTGTAAATAATATACCCAAAATTTTAAAGATAGCCGTTAGAGCCTTGGGATTGGATTTTTTTTTTTCTCTAAATTGGACCGGACCTATATAGTAAGCTTTCAAGCGGCAATAGTATTTATACATAGTACAGGGCACACAAAATCAGTTTTTAGGCTAATGAGAAAAACTGGTTTTCCATCAAGCCTTTTCACTTCTTAATGAATTTTAGAGGATAAAAAATATGAACCGATATAAACGGTCTGTAACCAGTCTAATATGGTTTCCAATAATTTATTTCCTTGGTTTAATGCATAACTAGTTTTAATTATCCAATTTTCAATGTCTAAAATGTTATCTTATTAAATCCGGCTATATCCGATCAAACCGAACCGATTTCTCAAATCCCAGTTTTCGTTTGACACAATTTCGGTTCGGATTCATATCCAAATCGGATAATTGGATTATGCACCTCTACCTTTTAATCTCACATCCTCATTTAAGCTAAATTAGACACATAAATGGGCTTTAGAGAACCGATCATTTGGAGCTTTTGGATGAGACTAGGTCCATTTTTAAACCAAAGTGTTTGTTCATCTAATCATATATATATATATATATATATATATATATATATATATATATATATATATATATATATATATATATATATATATATATATATATATATATATATAGAGAGAGAGAGAGAGAGAGAGAAAGAGAGCTATGATTATATGTATTTGGACAATTATTGTATAAACAACTCATTATCAACCAATCATTTTAAAAACCTAGTTAAGGGTAATATGGTAAATTTACATAATAATCAATGAATTATACTTTAAATTATTCCATTAATTAATGTAACCGATTAACCATCCCAATTTTATCTCATTCTTTCTCTTTCTTCTCATCTTATACACGACAGGTCGATTTAGTTGTGAACATCAAATCATTTGGATCGACGTCTTCAAGAGAAAGTCATTTGCGTTCGTTGAAGCCTTATACGATTGGAATTCAAATAATTCGGTTCTCATTTTTTATGTTAAGGAATGAAAACTGTGTAATCGCTCCTTGTTGGGAAAAACAGGCGATACTTGTCAAGGCTCGGAACACATTTGAAGCCACTTGCCAAGTTCTGATGACCCTTAGGAAGTAATGCGAATAACAAGCAAAATTATAAGCACACAAAGACACAGTATTTACGTGGTTCGGAAAAGGCGACCTATGTCCACAAGCAGGAGGTGAGTATTCTTTATTTCAGAGTTCTCAAAAAGAGGTTACAAGTACAATTCCCAAATATCACTCTAGAATTCAAGACACAAGACTAGCACACATCCCTATTTATACTTGAGGGATCAGACCTAAAACCCTAATAGGCCAAGCCCATAGGCCTATAGGCCCATGAAAGGTGTCGACCAATCATAATCCACCACGCATCATCTTCTGGAACATTCTTCCATGTCATATACACGTGAGCATTAACAACACACATGATTGAGCACATTGTGCCATAATGGAGCATCATGATGTACAAGTGGTGCATCATGAACACTAATGGCCCAACAACCATCATGGTGGCACAACATGGTGTAATCCTTGAGAAATACCAACATCATAGCATCCTTGAATGACCTTGACCATCATAGAGGACTTCATAGCATACTTGGCTCCTCAAGGACCAAAATGGTCCAACTTGCACCATCATCGCGCAACAACAACTCCATAGTGCAACAAGGAATATAGATGGCGCAAGAGGCTTTAAGTGTGGAGCAAGAACATCAAGATTTGAGCAACAACATCACCATCGTGCTATAGGCACATGCATGACACACAAGGAGTACCTCATGGCGTAATAGAGGTATCTCATGTCGCAAGAGGAATTGTCATTGTGCAAGAGCACCACTATTGGCCCATCCCTTTATCATACGACGCAACGAGGTTCCATTGGTGCTCCATATCACTCCCAATTTCTCTAAACCTCTTCTAGTTGCTCCAAACCCCCTTTTGTATGATCTGTTCCTTTGTCAAGCGATCCATTCCTTTCTCAAATGATTCGTTCCTTTGTAACATGCTCTATGAACATCAAGTGATCCATTGAGTTCCAAGTGCTCAAAATGCCCCCATGAACATGATCCAAATGCTTGAGTCACATTTAACAATCTCCACCTTTACTTGATCATCCTTTGAACGCCACCCCGAATAAGAACATCGTTTCCCTTTGTGCCATTCGTCCCCAAAGGGACCTATCTCCTACGAACATCAACCAAGTCCAAGAAAAGCTTGAACTACTCCGTGGGCAATGAATTTGTCAACATATCTATTTGGTTGACTATAGTGTTGGGTTTTTATTCAAAAATCCGGTTTCACAACCGGTGAAAATGACAACGGAAGCTTTAAAAATAGTGAAGAAAACTAAACTATTTTACCCACCAACGATCATTTTGCAAGAGTTAAAAATATTAAAACAACCATAGAAGAGAAATCCTAACAACCTTTGAAGACTTTGATCCTCATGGGAGGTTGGAAGTTGATGAAGTGTGGCATGAAACTGTAAAACAAGAGTTCTCTAGAAGTATCCACCAAGCAAGAGTAGAAACATCAAAACATGCAAGTATTCACTTCTAATTTGTTGATCATAAGCCTTTGAAACATATACCAAATATATGTTCAACGATGATGCAACAAAGGGACTTTTTTCAAGCATAAAAATGCAAGAGAATGGAGGAGAAGGGAGACCCTAAATCTCGAAAATTTGGCAGCCCTCTTAGAGAGTATGGCGCTCTCGAATTTCATGGCCAAAGAAGAAGAAGAATCTTGCTCGCAAGAACTACTTCTAACCTTCCATGCGCTCTGGTATATAATGGCCAAAAATCAAGAAAGGGGACGCAAAAGCAAAAGCATGGGACAACATTCTTCCAAGCATGGCATACACGATTAAATAATTCAAAAGTAGACCATGCTTAGTCTCCTCTTCATTTTCGAGAAAAGCATGTCTCAAAGAAGATAAAATTTATCTCATGGCTAGTTATTATACACACACACACACACACACACACATATATATATATATATATATATATATAAATTCAATCATTTTTTTATAAAGAATTCCCAACATATATATTTATATAACTGGTCATATATAAATATGTTATTTTATATAAAACTAT